CGTGCATATTTCATAGTTTTTTGTGCATAACTATCAGGCCTAGTCATGATCCAATTGTTGTGTCATCTATGACCTCACCCCTTCCTACTGGGGACTGACGTGACTGTTCCCAGGTGACCTCACTAGGTACCTTCTTAACTGATAATCCGCCAACCGAAAGTTTGGGACTCTGACCATATTGTCATTGTTTTTCGTTTCCCAATTTAGGGTGAACCTGATTTCTCTGTGATCACTGTTACCTAGTTCTTCCCTACTGTGATATCTCTGACAATATTTTCTTTATTTGTTAATACTAGGTCTAATATATTGTCACCTCTAGTAGGTTCTGTAATTGGTTGTTTCAAAAATTGTCTGTACTGCGTCTAGGAAGTCTTCAGATTCATAGTCGCCTACAATGTTGTCCCAGTCAATATTTCTGAATTTGAAATCCCCCATAATGCATTGGTTGTTATATTTTGCTGCCCTACTCATTTCTTGCCATATGGGCTGAGCTGCTTCTTTGCCAAGACTTGGGGGCCTGTAAATCATTCCCATAATTAGTTTTCTCTTCCTTCCGTGATTTCTACCCACACAGACTCGGTTCCTATTTCACCCTTTATTGAATTATTAATACAACATTTTAATGTTTCCTTGACGAAGTGCGACCCTCCCCTTCCTACCTTCAGTGTCGCTTGTGAAAAGGGTTGCACCCTTCTATGTGTTACTCTGATAAAAATTGCACGCCAGATTCATCCAAGTTTCGGTGATTGCTATGACGTCTACATTCTCGGTACATACAACTGCTCTCAGCAAGTTTATTTTATTTCTAACGCTCCTACTGTTTGTATCGTATACATTAACCTACCCTTCCTGGTCCTGTTTACCCTTGTCTGAGCAACTAATTTTACTTCCCAGGACCTGCTTGTTTTTGACTCCACTTTCCCGACCTCTCTACTGGCGAAACCCCCCTTCCAGGTAACAAATTCACGCTCCGGGATGCAGACAACGTCTTTACCCCTCACAGACAAGTGTGCTCATAGCGACTGCTGAGTAGTCGTTGCCATAGAATCGTTGCCGGTTATCAATGAATGCCCAACCATTGTTTGCACAATGTTTTCAGTCGGCAATTTATAGCAATTGCCTGGACGGCCATTCGACCAACCCCTCTTCTAGTCAAGACACCACATGCTATCGGATCCCTCCTCTATCTCTAATCTTCCCCGCGCCTCCTATACCTCTTGAAAGTTCCTCACTCCTAACTTACCTATGTCGTTTCCTCCCACACTAAGACACACTACTGGAATGGTACCTCTGACAAAACCCTGTCTAACCTCTCAGCCATGCCTATCAGCCTCAGGAAACAACCTTAATTTCCCCATTTCCTACTCTCGCACAAAAGCCCTATCTACAAATCTCACCTGCTGTCCCCAACTACCACGACCTTGCAGTTGGCAGGGTTTGTATAACTGCCCTTTTCTCTCCTTGATCCATACCGTCTGCCTCTTATCTTCCTCCGCCAGCTTCCTGAGCACCTGGTAAGGGTCTTCCCACACTACCAGCGGTTTGTTTCCTCTGCAGTAACTCCGTTGCTATGGTATAGGTGGCGCTCTACCACCGGGAATGACGTTAACCAGGATTGAAAAATACTGGACAAAAGAGATAAACTCACTGTTGTGAAAGCTGTCAAACGGCATTAAGATGAAAGTAGACTAGCTTTTAATAAAAGGTATACGATGATACACTTAATGTACGTTACACTTTATTATACAGTTTTATGAGTAAAATAAATTATAAGTTCGGTGCTTATCACCCCACATTCAGCTTAATATTATATAGTTACCTTTGTTCCCTGTCGAATCTTTTAATTGTTCGGTTTCGATATTGACCATTAATAGTCATAAGTTTTCTTTAGTTATAATTTTCAAGCCTCATTACAATGTAGACAGATAGATAAGTTCGTACATATAGTTGGGGCGTGAGGATCTGACTATAATGCGACACAATAAACAGAGAAGAAGATATTACATATATAAGGAGAGAGGTATAGAGAGTAGGAATGAAAAGATAGGAAACTTGGTAGCGTGGCCGGGATGTTATTTACTCAGCGTCAATACGCTTATCTTATCTCGTATGTCAATACACATATATCACTTTTTAAAGGGACAACTTGTTAAACACCTCTTCGATACAACTATTTATTAATTCACTCAATGACATGGACACATTAATATCACTATTATATCGGGGTACTAACACATTATGTTTTACGTTACCCGACACTGACTCTCGGACACACCTGAATGAATACACTTCCCACAGTAGGTAACTCACCCTAGGAATCGTTTTGACAAGACTCGTGTACCCTGGCGTAGGCCCAGTGAGTGCTGGCTGGGCTGCCTCCTATAGGAGAATCTGCTTAGCTGGCGATGCCGTGTTCTGGTCGGGAAGTCTCCCTCCCGACCTGGGGAGGGGACGTGCGTGACTCTGCTTAGTGAACCGAGTGACGACCCGAACGGGAGAGAGATGACAGCAACCAGGATGAGAATCAGTATGACCAGAATGATGTGAAATCCAGAATGAAGGTGGACGGGACTGTAGGGCCTTTATATGGGGTCGGTCCAACCGGCCTCTGACCTCTAACCAATTATCACTAAACTGGTTAGATCTGGAGAGCTGTGTGCAGGTGTGGTCCTGCCCAGGTGAGGTCATGTCGCAGGACAATAGTGCTTTGTAATTATTACCGCCCGAGTGGGTCTTGGCCAGGTGTGGTTTCCTTAACACGGTTATATCGTATGGTTACGCAAGTACTTGGGCCGGGGTCAGGTCTTGACCTGCAGTGTGTCAACCTGTGGTGTTAGGGTACCACGCGGTCTGTACTGTACTTGCTGTCATGTGTGATGAAATTCTGGGCTGTAAGCTTTGGTCTGACAAACAATCATTACATGACGGTTCTATTAATGTTGTTATGTGTGATTGGTTAGGTTGGTACGACTGGCTTACATACACTGAAGCAGGTTTATGCATGCAATTTAGTTGCTATGGACAACTGGCGGTGAGGCATCGCGTGATCTTTGTGAGAACTTGCTTTGAAACTAAGTCATTGTGGTGAAGCAAAGACATTTTCGGCCTGAGTTAAATGCTTCATGCTGGACACTTTCCTTAGTGTGGAACTTCTAAGAATGATGCTCGACGTGATTATGTGTCCAACAAGGTGGCGCTAAAGCACACACAGCGAGAGAAAGCATGAACAAGCTGAGGGTGATGTTTCGAGGCCGCTTAATTTCGAGATTTGGAGATATTCATTGGCCAGCAACATCGCCTGACTTAACAGACCCAGATTTCTTAAGGGGTTACCGTAAATTTCAAGTATATGCTATCCGTCCCCGCTGTATCCGGGAACTCAAAGACCGCATCATAAAGAATTGCAGGAATTGATCGTGATTTATCAAAGCGAGTTATGCAGAACTTGAAGGCAAGATGTATAGATTGAGATGGATGTCATTTAAACATGTAATTTCCAAACGTTAAGATTGGTTGCATTGATTAATCTTATTTTTCTCATAAAATTGCAATTTATACTCTTGTTGATGCTTAAAATGTATATAGTGATTTGTTCCACAATTTCCAACAACACCGCAATGAAAACCGTCAGATCCTCGCGCCCCACCCTGTATTATAATTATATAACATTATCATGCAAGTTTACATTGGTTTAGCATGTACAGTACGAGTACACAGAGAGTGCGTATACGTAAACAACGGTAAAGCTGATTTACTCAAGGTTAGGAGAAGGGGGGGGATGTCGGGGAAGGTAAGGGGTGAGGAGGGGGAGAGGGAGATAGGGAGTGGATGATGGGGTTACCGAGCGGGAGTATGTGTGGTGGAGGAGTGGCAGCAAGAGCAGCACTCTGATTGGTTGGCAGTGGAGACTGTGCAGCTGTACCTTGTGGGTTATCACCAGATGTGTGTGTGTTTGTGTGTGTGTGTAAAAATCGATGCGTTTATGTGTTGTCGTATGTATTTGAATGTGAAAGTATTTTGATTTATTTGCATATATTCGTATTTGCGACTGAATTTCTACTTCTGGCCACAGGTGTTCAGCAGTAGGTAGGAAAATATGTAAGTCTATGTCAGACTCGGTACCCTGACATAATCAAGACCGGTTATACCAGTGATGTAAATGACAGAAGACAGTAGTGTGTATACGTCTGAGCTTGTGCATTTGTATGAGGGTTATATTCCTTGAGCATGTATAAAATAAAAACTAATCTCCATACGACATCAAACAATCACGAAGACTGTAATGTACCTACTAACGATGACACACCGGCAAAGCGGCACAGCTCAGCATACAGTAGTTTGGTGGCGGGTCACGGGTGTGGCTGAGAATAGCTGTCTCCTCAGTGCACGTCAAGGTCTCCGGCTAGGGGGAGGCAGTGGAATGTGTTGGGGCGGTGTGAGCCTGCGTTCACTTACTGTACATCACCATCTGTTGAGTTAATTTATGTGAACGTTAGAGAGTTCTGGTAGCACATAATCGAAATTTATGCAGTGACTGGGTTATAAGTGAAAGTTACTGCAATTGAAAACATGAGACGACGATGAAGTACGGTACAGTGCAAAATCTTGGAGTATATGTTAAGGCGACAAGAAAACTTCGAATGTACCAATCCTAGAGAGTACTCTGACAGTAGATAATGTACTTGAGATAATAACGTGCAAGTGGAATATTATTGGCAGATGAAGCAACGTTCTGAAGCGATATCTGGTTGAGCTATGAGGTACAGCTTTTGTTGACATATACCTGACAACTTGAGTATGGTGCAGAGCTGTTCTACGGTGTGGTGAGGCAACATTTGGAATATCTGAAATGTTCTGTAATAAGTTTTGAACGTGAATGTCTTAATAAAGGTTGGTATACAAAGGACCGTTATGTAGAAAAAAAATTGCAAGGCCACGTTCCGGGTAATACAATGATGCTATGAGGCTCCAAGGGAATTGCCAGGAGATTTATGAGGTAAATAATGCCAAAATACCAAAATATGTCAGGTCGACTAGTTACTGTATACCATGCCTAGCGCCCACTTCGTATCGCCTGTTTCAGAGAATGCATAATAAAAAACTGAAATTGTTTGAATACTAGGAAATGAATGTTGTAGTGTTATAATATTCACTTTTTATCAGATACTAGGTGTGAGACGGTTCGATTCCCGCACCTTGCTAGCTAATCTATGTCCATTGCCCGCCTACTTGTGATTATTTGAAATAACTATCAGAATCTACGATACCATGAAATGCTTTTTGTACTGCCCAAATACTCGCTTTTTTTTTATAAGGTCTGATGGTTGGAATTTCACTCCTAGACCACCTGTTGTTTAGTATTCCCAACCCGATACAGTCCTTTCCAGTCACCCAGACACTGATGGGGGGGGGGGGGCTGCCTGGTGTTGGATGGGTCGACGTTGGGTTAAATAGAGGTTGTCAACCGGTGGTTGTTTACGGTATATAGATCTAGTTTGTTTACAGAAAGAATTCGTTTATGATATATGAAGAGACTTTGTTTTCGGATATATTGTTACGGTATATAGGTCGAGTTTGTTTACGGGAATAAATAGTTTGTGGTATGGTAGTCTAGTGTTTACGCGAAAAATACATATTCCCTTAAACAAACTCGACCAATAGACTGTAAAAATTTATATATATATATATATATATATATATATATATATATATATATATATATATATATATATATATATATATATATATATATATATATATATATAATTTTTTTAACGGTATATTGGACGAGTTTGTTTAAGGGAATATGTATTTTTTACGGTATATAAGGCGAATTTCCTTACGAATCTCATTGTTTTTGGTGTTGAAGGAGACGGAGTTGTAGGGGTATCGAGATATTAATATTGTCTAGCACTCAGGATGGAAGGAAACTCTAATGTGGTTTTCTTGTATAATATATAAGTTATATGATAGACAGTCTGGTGCTGGAGGTGCCGTGTGGTGAGGGGCTGCTCAATAGAGACGTTCGGTGAGTAGCGTGTTGAAGGAGGTAGATGTGCAGGAGCTTCGTTAGAGAAGATGTTGCCTGTTGCTGGCCTCCTGGTTGAATGAATGCTGGATAGCTAGGAGCTTGCTGGAGGAGGTGTTGCGTGCTAAAAGAAGATGAGCCAGAATGAGAGTTGGTTGGTGAGGAAGCTCAGAGAAGGACAGCTGGTGGGTCGCCATGCTCGCTGGCGGGAGCGAGGACCGCCAGGCAGGCGAGGAGAAGCGATCAGCAGCCAGGCAGCGGCAGAGGAGGAGGTGTTGCTTGTTCAAGAAGAATGGTCAGAATGAATCTCAATGGAGAGACAGAGCTTATATACCCAGCAGCCGCTATGAGTCATGTTGGGAAAACCCGAGAAGTCGCCGGTGACTAGTTCCGTTGCTAAGATACGGTAACATCTGGGGACAGCTCTCGCTTGGTTGCTAGGCAACGGCACGTTGGAATGTGGTGGCAGGTGGTGGCTGTGGCTACGCAGTTTGTAGGGGAGACGTCCACTACAGAGTCATGTTGGAAATGAAGTGACACCGTTATAGATAGAGAGCGTCAGGGCGGAATGATAGTGGTAGGGGGATAATACATCATCTTTAACCTATTGAGTAAAGAGACTCAACTTACATATTGATCAAACAAACACAACCCTGTAACTAGATTGTTACAATATATCCTTTTGATAAGCTGATAAGAAAGCTCAACACGAAGACTTTTTATCACATGAAGTCCATCGATTTTCCAGTCAAGTTGTCAATCATAAACCACTAACACACAGTCACATAAAAATAAACCTTCCTTATATACTATATCCTAAAATGGTCTTTTAAAATCGGGATTTGATTAATCTAATACTGTATAAGAGATATAGTAATTTTCAGACGTGGCCTTGAATATTCTTTGTAACAAAGGGTATATTTTCCTTTACTGATTTAACATTACAAGTTGATATAGTATGTTTTGGTAATGGGAGAAAATAATTCATTTGCAGTTATTCATATACTGAGTCCAACTAAGTGAGGACAGCTGTGGTCAGCTAAGTGAGGACAAATAAATGAACCCAACTAAGTGAGGGTAACTGCGTTCAGCTAAGTGAGGATAATTAAATGTCTCCAACCAAGTGAGGACAAATAAGTGAGGACAACTGAGTTCAGTTAAGTGAGGACAATTGAGTTCAATTAAGTGAGGACAACTAAGTTCAACTAAGTGAGGACAATTGAGTTCAATAAAGTAAGGATAAATAAGGGAGCCCAACAAAGTGAGTGCAAATAAGTGAAGACAACTAAGTGAGGAAAACTGACTACAAGTGAGTGAGTGCCACTGAGTTCAACTGATTATACATATCTGAGTACAATAGACTGAGTATAACGAACTAAGTTAAACTGAATACAACGAACTGAGTGCAGCTGACCTGAGTACAACTCATCACTGACTTAGGTTAAGATATCTTGTATTTAGCGTAATATTTATTAACCACAAGATATACTGAGTACAACTAGCTTAGGTTACCTTGTGTGTGTCTCACGTTAGGGTCCATTAAGTGAGTCGTTTAGGAGAACATGGAGGAACATGATGGTGCTATAGAAGGAACTAAACGAGAACTTACGGGTACAGAAATGAGGGAAGACTTTCGGAAGTCAACACCATCTGCAAGGGTTGGGCCACCTGCTGTGCTACCAGGAGAGGCTAGATCTTGGGAGGCTGGACCCCCTAAAAAACCAATTACACCAACTAAAAAAATTACCAAGCCACCTGTATCATCTTCTGAGAAGGTGGAACCATCTACATCACCATCCAGGGAGGCTGGACCAACCCTAAGACTTGCTGGGGGACACCCTCTAGAACCAGATGGTGGACCAGCACTACGACCAGCTGCTGAATCAGCCCTACGACCAGCTGGTGGACCATCTCTAGGATCAGCTGGTGGAACACCTCTTGGACCAGCTGGTGGAGCACCTTTAGGGTCAGCTGGCGGACCAGCCCTAGGACCAGCTGCTGGAACATCTCTTCGACCATCTCGTGGACCACTTCTAGGACCAACCGGTGGATCAGCCCTACGACCAGCTCGTGGCCCACCTCCAGGACCAGCAGGTGGATCACCTCTTGGATCAGGAGGTGGACCATATCTAGGACCAGCTGGTGGACCACCTCTGGGACCAGATGGTGGACCATCTCTAGGGCTAGTAGGTGGGTCACATCTAGAACCAGCTGGTGAACCACCTCAAGGACTAGCTGGTAGACCACCTCAAGGACCAGCTGGTGGACCACCTCTAGGACCAGCTGGTGGACCACCTCAAGGACCAGTAGATGGACTACCACTAGGACCAGAAGGTGGACCACCTTTAGGACCAGCTGGTGGTCCAGTCCTAGGACCAGATGGTGGGCCACTTCTAGGACCAGCTGGTGGTCCAGTCTTAGGACCAGCTGATGGACCACCTCTAGAATCTGCTGGTGGACCAGCCCTAAGACCAGCTGCTGGTTCACCTCCAGGACCAGCTGGTGAACTACGTCTTGGATCAGCTGGTGGACCAGCTCTAGGGCCAGCTGGTGCTCCACCTGGGGTGCTGCTGGTGGGTATGAGCAAGATGCGAGCCACTGGCAATGCTACAACTCTAACTCGACTGTGGTGAGTATCTGACGCAACGATTTGGTCGTCGATCCTCGTGACTTAGGAGGCGAGGACCAATTAGTGTAAAAACTGTATTTTGAGTATACTTGTTACCGAGTATATTTTCTTCTACGTGGATGAGACTGAGTACATACTGAATCTTTAATCATTTCTCATTACGACTACTTACAATGATTTCATTCTAAGATATAATGTGCCCTCTTGATATTAGCTTAACAACATTGAGTAGTTACTTATCTCTCAGGATGTTAAGTTGATACCTAAGAAGATTTACGTGATATTTTATAACCTGTACTGACAGATTACTCATCTCACGACATATATAAAGTACACAACATTACTCAGCCAACATGATATGGACAAGATATTCCTTTTTTTAAGAAACTGTCACCTCGATAGTCTTGGGGTTCTTTGTCGGTCATTTTGAAGTTTCGAGCAAAATGAATGAATTAGGTGTAGTTAACAGCTGATTAGAGTTTTATTCACATTTCTCCTGGTAATTTCTTTGCAAGTTGCGGATAATTGTTTACAATCATTTATTTCGTCTGTTATTTTGAAAGGTATATTTCTTGAGTAAGTTAAGATAGTGAAAATTTTTGTGCATTTGCACTAGAAATTATTTAAATCGAAAAATCTAATAAATCCTTACATTAAGTTCACTATTGCACTAAGATAATCATATCAGCATTACATAAGAACATAAGAACATAAGAAAGTGGGATACTGCAGGAGGCCGACTGGCCCATACAGGGCAGATCCCTTTCACACCCATCCCAGCACTTCCATGTGCCTATCCAACTTCGTCTTGAAGCTCCCTAGCGTCCCCGATCCTACTATAGCACTCGGTAGCCTATTCCACATATCCACAACTCTATTACCAAACCAGTGCTTGCCTATATCCTTTCTGAATCGGAATTTATCTAATTTAAAGCCATTTGTTCTAGTTATTTCGTTATTACTGAGCTTCAGAACATCTTCCATTTTACCCTTGTTAATCCCACTTACCCACTTGAACACCTCTATCATATCTCCCCTAACTCTACGCCTCTCTAATGAATGCAAGCCTAAGCTTTTCAGTCTTTCTTCATATGGAAGGTTTCTAATATTATGGATCATTTTTGTCATTCTTCTTTGTACTCTCTCCAAAGAATCTATGTCCATTCTATAATAAGGACACCAGAATTGAACCGCATAATCCATGTGTGGCCTCACTAATGCTAGGTAAAGTTTCAAGATAACGTCAGCAGTTCTGTTACTCACACTCCTAGATATGAACCCAAGAATCCTGTTTGCCTTGTTGCGAACGCTAATACATTGTTTTCTAGGTTTCAAGTCGTTGCTAACAAATACACCTAGATCTTTTTCACAATCTGAGTTTTCTATTTCCGTGTTACCTAGTTTATACTTAACGTTTGTATTCGTCTTCCCTATCTGTAGTACCTTGCATTTATCAGTATTAAAATTCATTTGCCAGTCTACTGACCACTCATGTAAGGTATCTAGATCTCTTTGAAGGTGTTCAAAGTCACTGTCTGAATTTATCACTCTCCCCATTTTGGTATCATCTGCAAATTTACTAATCCTACTAGTTATACCTAAATCAAGATCATTAATGAATATAACAAACAGCAGAGGGCCTAATACAGATCCCTGGGGAACTCCGCTTTTGACCGCACCCCAGTCTGACTTTAATCCATTTATGCTGACTCTTTGTTTCCTACCAGTTCACCATGACCTAATCCATTTTAATAATGATCCACCTATTCCATGTGCTTTCTACCTTCCTTATCAATCTCTCATGAGGGACTCTATCGAATGCTTTACTGAAATCTAAATAAATTATATCATATGACTTATCATTATCTACCGCTTCATATACTTCTGAGAAAAAGCTAAGCAAATTTGTGAGACAAGAACGTCCCTGGGTGAACCCGTGCTGAGAAGAATGAATTAAGTTGAATGTTTCGAGGTGGCTTCTGATTTTCGTAGCAATAATTGACTCTAGCAACTTGCCTATGATTGACGTGAGACTAATGGGACGGTAATTTGATGCAATTGATTTATCACCTTTTTTGAAAATCGGAACTACATTTGCAAGTTTCCAAGCTTCTGGCACTAGGCCCGATTCTAATGACTTATTAAATAAAACTGCTAATGGATTACTCAACTCATCTCTACATTCTTTTAATATTCTAGCATATACCTCGTCTGGACCAGGCGATTTATGAGGCTTCAGTTTGTTAATTTCTTTCAGCACATCGTTACTAGTAATATTGATATTCATCAACATATTTTCTATACTGTCATTATATACCTTATGAACTTCTGGAAACTGTGCTAGGTTTTCATTTGTGAATACGGAGCGAAAATGACTATTTAACGTACTACACATTTCTAACTCATCATCAGTCATTTCTCCTGTCGTAGTTGTAAGGGGACCTATTGTATCTCTAACCTTTGATTTATACAGTTGATAAAAAGCTTTGGGGTTATTTTTCGATTCGTTTGCTTCCTTGATTTCATAATTTCTCTTTGCTTTCCTAATTTCTGTTTTTACCTGTCTTGTTAGGTTCTGATAGTAACCAAGTAAGTGATTTTCGCCTTTCTTAACTTTTTTATATACTCCTTTCTTTTTCCCTAGAAGATCTAAGAGTCTATTATTCATCCATTTTTTTTGGTTCCGTATCGATCTGAATTTTCTTTTAGGGATGTGTTTATTTTGAGCATTATGGATTGTCGCAATAAATTGTTCATAAGTAGCTGCTAAATTAAATTCGGGGTTCTCCCGTCCTAAGTTGACAGTTTCCGGAGGTGTGGGGGGGATTAATCTTTTGACCATAGGGTCATCCCTTAGGTCTCTCCTTAAGCTACCGTAATTAGCCTTCCTAAAATCCGGGATCAAGGCCGAATTTTCCTTCTTCCTGCCATTCCATATTATGTTAAAATATATGGCTTTATGATCACTGTTTCCTAGTTCGTCTCCAATCCCAACATCTTTTACTAGATTTTCATTATTACTGAGAACTAAATCGAGGATATTATTTCCTCTAGTGGGCGAGTTTATGAATTGATATAAAAAACTATCTTGTACTACTTCTAGAAAATCTTCAGATTCATTATTGCTAAGTTGATTTTTCCAATCTAAGCCTGAAAAGTTGAAATCGCCTAGAATACATACATTGTTTCTATCAGATGCCTTCTTTATTTCCTCCCATAGCAATTTACCATCGTTCCTACTCAAATTAGGTGGTCTATATATAACACCAATGACTACGGACTCATTGCCCTCACCAATCTCTACCCAAATACTTTCATTGTCGCTATTTGTTTTAATGTTTGATTTATTGCAGCTTTTTAATGACACCCTGATATACACTGCTACACCGCCCCCTCTCCTTCCTACTCTGTCAAATTTAAATAGGTTATATCCTGGAATATGAAATTCTGCTAAAAAATGTTTGCTGTTTGAATTTATCCATGTTTCCGTTATTGCAATTATATCTATGTTCTCTTCACTAACAATGGCTCTGAGCTGGTCCATTTTGTTACACAAGCTTCTACTATTAGTATAATAAACACTCAATATATTTCTTCCGTTTCTATCTGTTTTACATTTATTACTTTGATGTTTGTTATTATGACTAACTATATTTTCAGCCTTATCTACTTCTGTTTCACTGCTGTTATTTTCACATGGTATTTTCCTCTCTTTACCACACACACACACACACACACACACACACACGGCAATAAGCAAAAAAAAAATATATATCTGTAATTAAACCCTGTTAAACTTTACCTTTGACCTTTGTTCTTAGCTGGCAGGTTGGGGCGGTGGGGTGGGTGGGTGTGATGCGTGAACCGATTGACCTACCTGACCTGACCTCCCTCCAGCATCTGGTCCAGACCCACAACATCGTCACTGCTTTGGGTCTTCACGCCTACCGCACAGCTGACGTCCTGCTGGCCTGTAAGGTAAGTCGAAGTACAGTAGTTCTCACATAGAGCAGTTCATGCGTAGGGAAAATAATATGTTGAATAAGTCATAAATATGATGGGTCATTATATAGGACAGGTAATGTGTAGAATAAATCATATATAGGACAGGTCATGTGTAGGTTGGATCACAAATAGGACAGGTCATTTGTAGGACGGATCATATATAGGACAGTTCATGTGTAGGATGGGTCACTATATAGGGCAGGTAATGTGTAAGATGAGTCATTTTATAGGAAAGGTCATGTGTAGGTTGGATCACATATAGGACAGGTAATGTGTAGGATGGAACCTATAGATGCCCCTTCTCTCAGCTGCCTCTTCAAACTATCAAAGTTTGCCCTTCTGAAATATGGGACTTAAGTGGAATTTTCCTTGCGGCTGCCCTGAAATTCTAATTGGAATCTTATTTCTTTGTGATCGCTGTTAGCAAGTTAGTCCCCTACATCAACATTACTATTGAGGTTTTCTCTGTTTGACAGAACTAAATCGAGTATATTATTACCCCGGGTGGGTTTGGTTATATGTTGGCTTAGTAAACAGTCCTGGATTGTTTCAAGAAAATCCTCTCACTCTGAGTTACCCGCAAGGTCGATCCAATCTATTTGGCTAAAGTTAAGGGCACATACTATACAGACTTTGCTATGTCTGGAAGCCCTGCGCATTTCATCCCAAGTAAGTCATTCATTAACTCTATCAAGATTAGGAGGTCTATATGTTACTCCTGTGATTCATTTTTCCCTACCATCGATTAATTCTATCCAAAATGTTTCTGTATTCTGCTCTGTTTTTATTTCCTTATTCATTTCACACTTCAGATTATCCCTGACATAGATTGCTATTCCGCCTCCATTCTTAATCTGCCTATCTGTATGGAATAATTTGTAACCTGCAATTTGGTATTATTCGACAGGTAACTCAGGTGAGTCTAAGTTTATCTATGTTTCGGTGAATGCTACAGGTATTATATCGACTTTTTCGGTACATACCAACGCCCTGATTTCATCCACTTTGTTTCTCATACTCCTACTGTTTCCATAGTAGACATTTAAGTTAGTTGTGTTCTGAGTCCTTTCTTTGACGCGTATAGGTTTTAACTCCCTGCCTAATTTAGTTGTGTCATCATCCCTGGCACTATTTCTCTGTAACCTTTCACTCTGTTTACCCGCTCCCACTGCAGTCTCCTCCACCCCGGTGCTCATATGTTCCCCTAGCAGTTTAAAGACTTCGACATCTTTTGAACTGCCCTCTTGAGAGAGCTTTATACTAACACACCTAGCTAACTGAACGCTCTCCAATATATAGGACAGGTCATGTATAGGATGGATATACATATCACAGGTCATGTGTAGGATGGCTCATATATAGGACAGGTTATGTGTAGGATGGATAATACATAGGACAGGAAATGTATAGCATGGATAATATATAGGTCAGGTCATGTGTAGGATGGATCATATATAGGAAAAGTCATGTATAGGATGGATAATAATTATATAGGAAAGGTCATATGTAGGATGAGTCATATTTAGGACAGGTGTAGGATGAATAATACATAGGACAGGTCATGTGTAGGATGGCTCATATATAGGACAGGAAATGTATAGCATGGATAATATATAGGTCAGGTCATGTGTAGGATGGATCATATATAGGAAAAGTCATGTATAGGATGGATAATAAATATATAGTACAGGTCATATGTAGGATGGATCATATATAGGACAGGTCCTGTGTAGGATGGCTCATATATAGGGCAGGTTATGTGTAGGGTAGATTTTATATATAGGACAGGTCATAAGTAGGATGGGTCATATATAGGACAGGTCATAAGTAGGATGGCTCATATATAGGACAGGTCATGTGTAGGGTAGATTTTATATATAGGACAGGTCATAAGTAGGATGGGTCATATATAGGACAGGTCATGTGTAGGGTAGATTTTATATATAGGACAGGTCATAAGTAGGATGGGTCATATATGGGAGGGTAGGATGGGTCATATAGGACAGGTCATGGGTAGGGTAGATATATAGGTAGGATGGGTCATATATAGGACAGGTCATAAGTAGGATGGGTCATATAGGACAGGTCATGTGTAGGGTAGATTTTATATATAGGACAGGTCATAAGTAGGATGGGTCATATATACAGGTCAAGGTCATATGTCATGTGTAGTAGATTTTATATATAGGGCAGGTCATAAGTAGGATGGGTCATATATAGGACAGGTCATAAGTAGGATGGGTCATATATAGGACAGGTCATAAGTAGGATGGGTCATATATAGGACAGGTCATAAGTAGGATGGGTCATATATAGGACAGGTCATAAGTACGATGGGTCATATATAGGACAGGTCATATGTACGATGGGTCATATATAGGACAGGTCATAAGTACGATGGGTCATATATAGGACAGGTCATGTGTAGGATGGATATAGAGAGGATAGGTCACGTGTAGGCTATAATTATAATATATAAGAAAGATCTTGAAAAGGATGGATAATATATAGGACAGGTCACATGTAGGATGGGTCATATATAGTATTGGTCATGAATAGGATGGATAATATATAGGACAGGTAATTTTTTTACCAAACATCATCATTAACTCGAATACGCTGGATAGCTTGAAACATAGGTTGGATGGGTATATGAGCAATAGGGGTCGGATGTAAATGGGACTGCCCAGTATGGGCCAATAGGCCCGCTGCAGTTTCCTCCATTCTTATGTTCTTATATGTAGGATGGCTCATATAAAGGACAGGTCATATGTAGGATGGATATATATATAGGACTGGTCATGTGTAGGATGGCTCATTAAATAGAACAGGTCATGTGTAGGATGGCTCATATATAGGACATGTCATGTGTAGGATGGATAATACTATACATAGGACAGGCCATGTGTTGGATGGATAATACTATACATAGGACAGGCCATGTGTTGGATGGATAATACTATACATAGGACAGGCCATGTGTTGGATGGATAATACTGTACATAGGACAGGTTATGTGTTGGATGGATAATACTGTACATAGGACAGGGCATGTGTTGGATGGATAATACTGTACATAGGACAGGTCATGTGTTGGATGGATAATACTGTACATAGGACAGGTTATGTGTTGGATGGATAATACTGTACATAGGACAGGGCATGTGTAGGATGGATAATACTGTACATAGGACAGGTCATGTGTTGGATGGATAATACTGTACATAGGACAGGTTATGTGTTGGATGGATAATACTGTACATAGGACAGGTCATATGTAGGATGGATAATACTGTACATAGGACAGGTCATGTGTTGGATGGATAATACTGTACATAGGACAGGCCATGTGTAGGATGGATAATACTGTACATAGGACAGGTCATGTGTTGGATGGATAATACTGTACATAGGACAGGTCATGGATAATATAGGACACTGTACATGTGTAGGATGGATAATACTGTACATTAGACAGGTCATGTGTAGGATGGATAATACTGTACATAGGACAGGTCATGTAGGATGGATAATACTGTACATAGGACAGGTCATGTGTAGGATGGATAATACTGTACATAGGACAGGTCATGTAGGGTGGACAATACTGTACAGGACAGGTCACTGTAGGACAGGTCATGGATAATACTGTACATAGGACAGGTCACGTGTAGGATGGATAATACTGTACATAGGACAGGTCATGTGTAGGATGGATAATACTGTACATAGGACAGGTCACGTGTAGGATGGATAATACTGTACATAGGACAGGTCATGTGTAGGATGGATAATACTGTACATAGGACAGGTCATGTGTAGGGTGGACAATACTGTACATAGGACAGGTCATGTGTAGGGTGGATAATACTGTACATAGGACAGGTCATGTGTAGGATGGATAATACTGTACATAGGACAGGTCATGTGTAGGATGGATAATACTGTACATAGGACAGGTCATGTGTAGGATGGATAATACTGTACATAGGACAGGTCATGTGTAGGGTGGACAATACTGTACATAGGACAGGTCATGTGTTGGATGGATAATACTGTACATAGGACAGGTCATGTGTTGGATGGATAATACTGTACATAGGACAGGTCACGTGTAGGATGGATAATACTGTACATTAGACAGGTCATGTGTAGGATGGATAATACTGTACATAGGACAGGTCATGTGTAGGATGGATAATACTGTAAATAGAACGGGTCATGTGTAGGGTGGACAATACTGTACATAGGACAGGTGATGTGTAGGATGGATAATACTGTACATAGGACAGGTCATGTGTTGGGTGGATAATACTGTACATAGGACAGGTCATGTGTTGGGTGGATAATATATGGAACGGGTCGTGTGGTGGATGGGTAATGAGTAAGACAGGTCAGGTTATAGGCAGTTTTTCAACAAAAATATCTCTCAGCATAAGAGTGAGAAAGTGAATATGTATGTTACATACAGTCAGGTAAAATAATGTTTAACAATCATGACAGATGATGATGTCGTCGTAGTTTGCAAGCAAAGTTTACGAGACAAGATTTAACTTCTGTGAATAAATGGTGAAATTATGGTGCCCGAAAAAGTTACAGTAAAAAAAAAAGAAGAAAAAAAAAACAATAGTCAGAAAAAAGTAGCAATTTTGACTGGGAGGGAAAGTCTCGGGATTTAAAGCCACATTTTGTTCTAATGAGCCCATTAAAGTTAGGTTAGGTTACCTTTGTGCATTTTTTCCTGGTTTTCTTGTGATTTTTCGGTGACTTTTTTTACCTACACACAGGATCATAGTGATGTAGTATTCCATATGTTTTGCCCACTGCTGCAGGAGCTGGGGATCCCCTACGTGGTGCTGTTCGGAGGTACTGATGTGAACGAGTGCGTAAACGAGGCGACCAAGATTGAGTTGATGACTCAGGTGGTGTTTGGAGCGAGTCATCTGTTGGGCTTTGACATCTCCATGACACACAAAGTCCTACTTACCTGGGTGAGTCAAGTCTTAGTTTCCCACACCTGGGCGAGTCAGGTCTTTGAATTGAATTGAATTGAATTGAATTGAATTGAAACAGTTTATTTAGCCAGAAAATCACAGATATAGAGTGGGTAATAATAACAATATTAACATGGCTGAGCCAGTTGAGAACCTGAGCTCTTTTTGAGGCACCTGATATATACTATACATTTATCTCAAGGAAGTATTATGTAACATTTAGTATCATCTGGAATAGTACAATAGCATGGTAGTAATAAGAACATCTCATAGTGTTACCACGGTTATCACTTCAATATTTATTTATTTTATTATTTATTATTTTATTTATTTTTTAATTATTTTGTTTATTTATTTATTTATACATACATATACACACAATCAACACCTCAACCCGCCAGGATTCGAACCCACGGCCCACGAGCCCATAACTGTGAACGGGGAACGCTGTTGTTGTTGTTGTTGTTAAGATTGCCGGACCGTAGTCCGACACGGGCCTTTGCCTGTAGGCGGCCCGTTTGGTGGTTCCGGCTGGAGCTTCTGGAGCAGCAGACCGGATTAGGATTGGAGGTGGTCCCACCTGCAGATTGGAAGGGTACTGCAGGTTGCAAGTGTGAGCGGGCCCCCAATCAGTGGACGCTTACCACCAACCACCACTCTTGGACGTGGTCAGTTTCGGAGTGGCGCGCCCCCCGAACTGGGGTCCGCACTTGCTGGGAGAGGATGCTTTCTAAGCTATCTGGGTGGTGGGTATCGTGTGATGACCCGGAGTAAGTGGTGAATGTGGTCTGTGTGGGCCTTTCGGGTTAGAGTGGCCGCTGGTGTTGTGTGTGCCTCTTGGGAGATTTGAGTTCTGTTTCGGAGGCTTTGTGTGACTTCGCAGTCGAGGAGATAGTGTTCAAGTGGGTTGGCTGCTGGCTCCTGACAGTAGGTGCATTCCATGACGTCATTTCCGATAATCTGCCAGGAGCACTTGTACCCTAGTCGTAGTCGATGAAGGCTGACTTGGGTTTGTCTTGGTGTTTTCTTGTCAGCGAAAGGTGGTTCCCCTTTTGTAGCCGCCAGGTACCATTTGGCTGATTGGGAACCAGCGTTGAATGCGTGAAGGAAGCTCTTTTTGATGTGGAGCTTGCTAGTCTTTCTAAGGTGATTCTTGATCTGTAGCACGCTTGCTGGAACTTGGATGTGTATGCTACTAGAACGTGTAGCTGCCTTGGCTGCTTCGTCTGCCACGTCGTTTCCTCCGATCCCTACATGACTGGGAATCCAGTGTAAGACGACTGGGCGGTTTTGGCTTTGGAATTCCTGTAGCTGTGCGAGGATCGAGGTTATGATGTGGAAGTTGTCTCTTGGTTGACTGTGTTGCAGCGCCTGCATGGCCGATTTCGAGTCCGTGTGAATTATGATGGACTTGTTGTGTTGTGTTGCAGCGTGTTGTAGGGCCTTTGAGATTGCTACCAGCTCTGTTTGTAGGGTGGAGCAGTGATTGGAAAGTCTCCATCGGAGGGTCTGAGCTTGGGTGTAGAAGGCCGCTCCGGATCTATGATGTTTTGGATCCACCAAGCCGTCTGTGAAGTATGATGCTGCATCAGCCGGTGTCTCGGTGGCTATGGCTTCCAGAGTTATTTTTTTGGGGTCCTCCTTCTGGAGGTTGGCTTTACTATCGCCTAGGTCGGTAATTTTGAATGTGGCTGGTGGAGGGCTCCATGGTGGAGGAACAACGTAACCATTGTCTCGTGTGTCTTGGTTGTTCTTGACGATTGTTTCTGCTTGCAGGTGTCGGATGACCTCGCTTGCCTCGTGCAACCAGGTGGCCCCTCGCACTCTGTGGTCGAACTGGAGGGAGGCACTGATTCGAATTTTGGCAACTGTGGGCTTATCTGATCTACAGATTTGGCGAGGAGACCGACTGTCACCTGCTTGACTCGTACTGCAAGGGGTGGTAGTTCGGTTTCCATTTGCAAATTGCAAATTCTGGTCCACATGGGTGCTCCGAGCATGGTCCTGAGAGCATTATTTTGGATGACTTCTAGCTTGGCTATTTGGTCTTCTCTCAGTCCAATGAGTGCTGGAGCACTGTAATCTACCAGAGATCTGATGGCGGCCGTGTAGTAGGCTTTGAGCACATGAAGGTTTGCTCCTGCGGTTGTGCTGGTGAGCGACCTCATTATATTGTGTCTGCTCTTCGTCCTGTGCCTGAGATACTCGAGTTGCGGCTTGAAGGTGAGTTTTTGGTCAAACCAGATTCCAAGACACTGGTGGGTGTTGGTCCAGACTACCGGCGTGTTTTGTATGGAGAGCATCTTGTCTGGTGTGTCTGTGCAGATGGCCATCGCTTTCGACTTGGCTGGATTTATCTTGAGTCCAAGTCTATTGCACTCCTCTTCTATAAGTTGGAGTGCGTGTTGCGTGTTGGCTAGTCTGTTTGATCCTCTTACTATAAGCTGTAAGTCGTCTGCATAGCATAGGAGCTTGGCTGTTTGTCTGAAAGGAAGTTTTACTAGATTTTCCATCAGGACATTGAACAGCATTGGACTGAGGATGCCTCCTTGTGGGGTTCCGTTTTCATGGACCCTGTAGCTTGAGGTTGCTCCCTGAAAGCGTACTCTTGCTTCTCTCTGTGTGAGGTAGTTCTGGATCCACCCCAGCAACCTTCCTTTGATGCCTTTTTCAGCGAGCGTCGTTGTAATGGCCAGTGGATTTGCTAGTTCGAAGGCCTTCTCCAGGTCGAGGAAGACCACCAGAGCTGGTTTGTAGTCCACTGTGCTGAGTATCTCGGCGATGTTGTTGCCTGTGCGGGTGTTCTCGGTGTAAGCAAAGATGTGAGGGTGTGGGCTGCCTACTTTCCACTTGAGTCGGTTGAGAGCCATTCTTTCTCCCGTCTTCGCTATGGAGCTGAGAAGGGAGATGGGCCTCGGTTTGTCTGGTTCTCTGGGCTTCGGAATGGGCTGTATATCTGCCTTCTTCCATTCCGGTGGGAGTCTTTGTGCTGTCCACGAAGCATTGATGGCTTGTAGCAGAGCCGCGTGTCCGGCTGTACCGGCATGGGAAAGCATGGAGTAGGTTATCCTGTCGGCCCCTGGAGCTGTGTCCTTGCTTCGTTTTATCGACTTCTGGAGTTCTTGCTGGTTGAAAGGTCTATCGGTGTCATCTTCACTGTTGCAGGCCTCCTCGATCATCTGGAGTCTGACCTGTCGCAGACGCCGTTGTGTCTCCTCCGCCTGTCTCGGGAGGTTTTTCGTTGCTGCTCGGTCAGAGAACAGTTTTGCAATTCTTTCGGCTTCCTCTTCTGGGTTGGGATGGGTTGGTGGTGGTGGTGTTGCCTTCCCAGATGCCCTTCGGATCTGGGCCCACATCTTGCCAAGGGAGGTGTGCTCGTTCAGTTCGGAGCACCACTTGAGCCAGCTTACGTTTTTTATTTCTTCCTTCTCTTCCCTGGTATCCTTAACTATGACTTGCAGGAGATGTCTGTTTGTTTCCGTGGGATGTCTCCTGTAGTTTCTTCGGGCCATGTTCACTCTGTGGTTGAGTTCTTTCACCCTGGGACAGTAGTACCAGTAATCATTGTACTGTCTTGATGTGGGTTTTGTTTTTGGAATAGCCTCTTCTGCCGCTTGGTGAAACGCCTCGACCAATTGTTGGTGGAGGGTTGTCTCGTCCACGGGTGCTGCGCCGGCCGGCTGTGATTTTTCGCGCCACTTAGCCAGGTGTTTCTTAAAGAGTCCCCAGTCTGCCTTTTGGGTATTGTATCTCCATCTTAGGGGGGGGTGGAGTGGGGAGTTTGTTCACCTTCAGCGTTGTTAGGGTGGCGAAGTGGTCGCTGGTCAGTGTGGGGTGTAGCTGCCAGGAGGCCGAAGGCTGTAGTGCACTGGAGACGAAGGTTAGATCTAGCCTTCCTCCACTAGTGTAGGCGGGCTCTCCGGTGTTCAGGAGGCAGATCTCGGGTGTATCTTGAAAGGTGGTGTATAGGTGTAGGCCGTCTTCATTTGTGGGGCTTACCGAGCTTAGGAAGGGATGATGTGCGTTGAAATCCCCTCCTATGAGTGTGGCGTGGTCAGCGGCCGAAGCAAATAATTGAGTCACCTCCAGTGAGCCCCTTGGGTTCTTGTAGATGTTGTGAACAGTTAATTCCCGTTCTTGGAGGGTTACTTTGACGGACTGTGTCTCGATGTTTTCCCCACATAGAAATTGCTGCGTGACCTCGGAGGAGGGTATGCTTGACTTGACCAAGATCATACATCCTCTTGTTGACGCCTGCGTGAAATGCCTCCTGTATGTCTTGTAACCACTGAATTTGAAACAGTGGCGTTCTTGTAGAAGTGTTTCTTGTAGCAGTATAATGTCCAGCTTGTCCTTGGCGGCTGCTTCTTGTAGGAGGTGTTTTTTGTTTTTGATGCCCTGAGCATTCCATGTTAGGATGTTCAGGGTGCTGATGTTTTCCACCACTGTTTCATCGGGGACTTCTGGTGGTCCTCGATGGAAGTGTCCAAGTCCGATTCCAACTGGATCAGGTTCATATCTTCGTGTTCTGTGGTTTTTGCCTTCTGGGCCGTGGTTCGGTTCAGGGGAGTTGAAACGTCCAATTTCTTTCTGGGAGCTGTCGGTATCTTGGGTTCTCTGGTGGCCTTCTTCGGTGTAGAGTGTACCTCGGCTGTCACTCGTGTGAGGACCGGCGTGGCTTCCTCCACTGAGGTGGCTGGAGCTGTGGCGACTTGCCCGAGGACGCTCCCCATGAGTATTTGGAGCTGTGTGGGTTGGATCTTGTGGCCCAGTAGTCCGGCTAGGCCCTCCGCGAAGGTTGTCAGTACCTTGGCTAGGTCTGATACGTGTATCATTCCTTCTGGTGCCTTGGTGTGTGCTTCTTTTGTCTTTTTCGTGGTTGTCGTTGTCTGCTGCTTGGGTGGCTGAGGTGTGGCCGTAGTGAGGCCAGGAAACTGGGCTGCACTTTGGGTGTTGACCGGCTGAGGAGGTTGGCTTTGTTGTCTTGGCCTTTGGGT